GAAGACATTACAAGTTTAATCGATAAGTTTACGAGATGATTTGCCAGAGGGAGATTGTACAAAAGTCGTTTGCATGGGCACCTTTGTCCCATTCGTGTTTTTACCGTAAATCAGTTGTGTTTACATAGCTGTATTTCAATTTGAAGGGTGGGACATGGCAGTGAATTTACAGGGTATAGAGGAATAACATCTTAGTCCTCAGGAATGGCAACGCGTGGAGTGTGATCATGGGCGAAACAGTATACTCTGTTAAGTCCATGGTACTGCTCATGTCTATAGGCGACAGTTACCACTTTCTATCAGCTGGACCGTCAGCATGTTTGCCATTCTAAGTTGCATAAAAAAATTATGTGTTAGAACAGTTATTGGGAGGAGGGAATTGTTAGTAATGGGTCATGATTGCTAGCAATTGATCCTGTTAGGTCGACTTCTACTAAATCAATTAAGTTGGACTGACTGACCTGACTTCATACTCGTTTATCATTGTTCACTGGTGACTTGCCAGCATATACCGATAGTGCAGGCGAGGTTAACCATCCCATTTTTATCCATTAAGAAAAAATACGTTCTGTTTCTTATAGATATACCATAAAACATGCCCCTAAGAAGCATGTAGAACATTTTTGTACTTAACTCTATCACAAAGAATTTGGAAGATTATGCCAGTAGTTGCAAGTTATATATTACACAGAATTAACTTCATTTTATCAAAATTTATGATCCTTTTCTGTCGTGTGGTCCCGCCATAGAAAAGCCTTTCCATTCTTATGGCTGTCGTAAGAAGCGACTGAAGGAACTTAACATATCCTAGTATTAGGTACATATTTAACATATATGCATGTGATTATATAATTTTATTTGATTGATATGTATGTGTATATATATATATATGTATATATATATATATATATATATATATATATATATATATATATATATATATATATATATATATATATATATATATATATATATATATATATGTGTGTTTTAATTATACAGCACTATCATACCTACTTGTACAACAATTAGTCCATTACCTTAAGGTTGTCTTGAAAAGATTGCTCTCAGCAATAAGACCGCCTTACTGTACTTATACAATTGTATCGTTGTGTTTGTAAATTGTATCGCTTATTTCCTATATTGTATAATGCAAATAAAGTATACTCACTCATTCATTCAATAGAGGGATAGGCAGCAGCATCTCTCTTAACATGTCTGTAAAAGCCTAACTGCGGTCGCCAACCAGCCTGCCAAGCGTGCCTACTATTGGCAAAACTCCCTTTATGGGAAAGGAATTGATGATATAGCATATGATATTTTCTTCTACAGGCTTTATACCATACAACAAGATATTAATATAATAAACTGTATTACCGTTAATGCATGCGCTTCGCTACCAACATAATAATTGGATACACTGATCTAAACATGATTTTACATACATAATTGTATAATACCATGATAGAGATGTGAAAATTATGTTCAGAATTGGTTTGAACATGGAACAGTTCCATTGCTTCAAGGAACTATGTTCTGAAACTATTTAGTTCCAAGAATCATACATCTGATATTTTTTAATTTTTACAAAAAATCACTTTTGGAACATTCTCTTAAGGAGAGGAGATGACAAACTAACTCCCGGCGGAAGCACAGTCGGCCGGAGTTCAGGGCCCTAGAGACAGAAACCGGCGTATAATGCGGGCAGTATCTAAGAGCACCGCTTTCTGCATCTTTCCCGGGAGTGAGCCGCCTCAGAATCCCAGCCGTTTGAGATGTTGTTCCAGACTAGTTGGGATAAGACCGTTCACCGACAAAACGATTGGAATGATTTCGGTGGACGTTACCTCCCCACATTTCGGTCACCTCGTGCGCCGAATCGAGCTTTTTCTCGGTTATTATTATTATTTTAGCCGTTAACTATCCACTGCTGGACATAAGCTTTTCCCATAAGAGGAGTTTTACCAGTAATCACGTTTGGCAGGCAGGTTGGCAACCACGATTAGGGTTTAAGGATGTTTTAAGAGGGACGCTGCTGCCCAAACCTCGTCCTTCCTTAGTCGCCTCTTACGACACCCACGGGAAAAGAAGGGGTGGCCAATTCTAAGCCGGGGCACACACGGGAGGGGGGGGGGGCACAGTAGCTCATAGTTCCATGTTATGTAACCTTGGATATAATAATATTACGAAAAACAATATTTTTTTCATTATTTCTGATCAAACCTAATCTTGTTAATAGAATTATTTTTGTACATTGATCTGGTCAGACTAAGACACTCTGAGTTCCGGTTTGGCTGTGTTTCGGTTTGAAGGGTGGGATATGGCAGTGAATTTACAGAGTACAGAGGAATAACACCTGAGTCTTCAGGAATGGCAACGCATAGGGAGTATCATGGACGAAACAGTATACTCTGTAATGTCCATGGTACTGCTCATGTCTATAGGTAACGGTTACCACTTTCCATCAGGTGTGATGTCAGCTTGACTCAGGTGTTATTCCTCTGTACTCTTTAAATTCACACCATATTCCACCCTTCAAACCGAAACACAGCCATGCTTTACAGTTGAAACACGAATAGGATAGAGGTACCTAAGCAAATGACTTTTATAAAATGTCTCCCTGTGGTAAAAATATATTCCAATATCTAGAAAACGTTCGTACATGATCAGGCATTTCAGGCTATGCAAAGGCTTCTTGGTTTGTTCTGATATATTTATATGTTTGGTATTTAAAAGGATGCCATTAGAGAGCATAGTTCTTGGAACTATGTCAGTGTGAGACAACACACGCCTAGTAATAAGCTAAGATCATACAGTTGCGTTCTCTTCGAGTTCACTGGAGTGTACATATTGTATAAATTTAAATATACAAACTATATATCAAACACGTGTAATAAATGGAATATATAATGGAAAAATGGAATGGTTGACTGGTAGAGAACACCGTCCGGTGTTAAGTCCGCCAAATGTTCATAGAATTTTACTGTGCATTAAAGGTTAAATAAATAAATAAATATCATTTGTTTAGTGATAACACTAGTAAGTGGTTTTTTTTTAATGGATGATAATGGAATATTTTTTTTTAATGGGTGATAATGGAATGGTAACCCCGCCTGCGCTATCGGTATACACCGGTGGGGCACCAGTGAAGGATGATAGGTGAGGATGAAGTAGGTCAGTTAGTGACATGACGAATTCAACAAGATTTTTTTGTTCGCGATAGTTTCCAGGGGGAATGAATGAATTAATGGGGAACTACGTGGAGGTCGATCTAATAGGGCACATTGTTAATAATGGGGCTGTTGGATGAAATATAATGGTTTCCCCGCCTGTGCTAACGGTATACGATGGCGGGGCATCAGTGAGGGATGATAGAGGAGAATGAAAAGAAACAGGTTAGTAAGCCTATCGTGGTTTCCAGGGGGGACCACGGGGAGGTCGACCTGGTTGGGTATTTTTCTAGCAATAGGGCCCTTAGTCTCCATTACTATCAATCCCTTCCGATCAATCAACACTAATAAGTTAGTGTTTTCATTTTAATTTTTACTAGCGACCCGCCCCGGCTTCGCACGGGTACACATTACATCACATCACATTAGAAACCTCTAAATTTATCAGTATTTCTCTACTATATTATACATGTATTATACATATAAACCTTCCTCTTGAATCACTCTATCTATTTAAAAAAAACACTTCAAAATCCGTTGCGTAGTTTTAAAGATTTAAGCATACATAGGGACGGACAGACAGGGACAGCGACTTTATTTTATACTATGTACTGATCACCAATAAACAACCGGTGACCGGTTCCTAATGTCTACCGGTTGGGAAGTTATCAAAATAATTTAATTAATATCCGTCGTGAGCTGCCGGTAGTAAAAACAAACTAATGAACCGTCTATACTAAACACGTTTTATGACTCGTCATTAACAAAGACGTATATAAAGATAGATGTAAAGGAATGGGAAAGAAATACTGGGAAACAGGAATTATAATCATTGCTGGACTGAATATTTTCGTCAAACAAATTTAAATTGAAAAAATAAAAACTTTGTTATGACTTATCCAATGTTTTGTTTTTTTTTTTTTTTGGAAAAATATATTAAATTTCAATTCCTTAAAAAAAGACACTAATGATATCCATTTCATTAGTAAAATTTTTTATATAAATTGAATAATGTATGAATTAGAAAAGAAAACATTTAAAATTTATTGCCAATAAATACAATTAAATTACAATAGAATTAAAAAAAAAAAAACATATACAAGAAGTGTCCCATACTAGGCAAAAGGAACCGGCTCAGCTGATGCTGTGAGTGTCCCAGCGCAATGTGAACAGCTGCGCAGCGTTGGTTTTCAATTAACTTATCTTGAAAAAAAAAATTCACAATAAATATACAGTAACTAATGTAATTTGCAATAATTAATATTGTATACTTTTTTTTTATACAACTTATAATGGCAAACAAGCTGACGGCCCATCTGATGGAAAGTGGTAACCATCGCCTATAGACATGAGCAGTACCATGGACATAACAGAGTATACTGTTTCGTCTATGATACCCCCCATGCGTTGCCATTCCTGAGGACTCAGGTGTTATTCCTCTGTACCCAGTAAATTCACGCCATATCCCACCCTTCAAACCGTAGCACAGCCATGCAAACACAACTGCTTCAAGGTTTTAACACGAATGGGACAGAGGTACCCGAGCAAACGACTTTTGTACAAAGTCTCCCTCTGGAAAATACTTATGAAGGAGATAACTATGATCGATGTGGTAAAATATAGTACTCTTTTTATGGTATTTAAATGGCAAAAAAAACTGACGGCCCACCTAATGAAAAGTGGTAACCGTCGCCTATAGATATGAGCAGTACCATGGACATAACAGAATATACTGTTGCGTCCCTGGTACTGCTTACAAAAATCGATTGAAAATACAGACGAATTGAGAATCTTCCCTGTTTGAAACTTACCTAATATTTTTTTTAACAGTTCTCAGAGAGCAACGCTACGATAAGTCTTCTAACGCTAGTACCAGAAGCCGAGGACCACGAGAGGACGCTGGTGTGCAGAGCAGAGAATCCCCGCGTACCAGACGCGGTACTACAGGACGAGTGGAAACTGAACGTGCATTGTAAGTAACGTCCCACGGCTGGGAAGAAATCTCGTCTCATATGAAGTAACCGTGGCGAGGGAATCACCATGTCGACGTTCACTCTCTGCACAGTTTTCTCTATAATCCATGGCGGTTTATTGCTGATGAATTTATAACGATAGATAAACTATAGCCTTCATTATCATCAAACATCATTTGATGGGTTTTATAGGAATAAAGCTAGGTATGAAAGGTATAACGAAAGGATACAAGGACTCACCGTCTTGTCGTTTCTTTTTTGACGGGTGAAAATGGAATGGTAACCCCACCTACGCTAACGGGATACGCTGGCGGAGCACCAGTGAAGGGTGATAGATAAGAATGACAACAGGCCAGTTAGCCCATCATGATGAATTCATCAGGAATTAACCATGACAGTTTCCAGGGGGGACCGCGAGGAGGTCGACTTGGTTGGGTATATTGCTAGCAATGGGATTCTCAGTCTCCATCACTAACAATCCCTTCCCCCCCCACCGTCTTGTCGTGGGCTATTATATGATGTCCTGTGCGGGCGCCTTGATTCCTTCCGTCACTTTATCACCAATGTACACACAAAATATTGTCTAGAAACACAGCACTTCAAATTATGAAAGCGGTAACCACGTTAACAGCACAACAATATTGTTAAATATTTTATACATGATTGCTCGTCGATTGCGGACGTCACATTGACGATTAAGAATTGAAGCCAGCTCTGAAGTTTTTTAGAAGCTTCCGGCGTCCTCATTGGTTGTTGCAACTCGGAGGTAAAGACGATGACGATGATTGGATATGATAGGATCAAGGGAAATGAATTTAGCACTAGGTACCGATTATTATTATTATTTTTGAACTAGCACATAAATACAGATTAATAAGAATAAATTTATATTGATATTATTAAAAAAAAAAATCTAAAGGAACGCGCAAATATCATTAATAGCAACGAAAATAGACGGATTAAGAACTACCTCTTTAAAATCTTTAATCTCTAGGGTCTTCAACTATTATTAATATTTATATATTTTTTCCAGATGTTCCCATAGTAACATTGAAGTTAGGAGCGAGTCTCAACCCTGGATACATCAAGGAAGGAGACGACGTATACTTCGAATGTAATGTTAAAGCGAATCCGAAGAGTCACAAACTCACGTGGTACAAAGGGGTAAGTAAGTGAGGAAGGTACGATTACCCCCACGAAGGAAGGGGTACCTTTGATTGTTACAACGAACTATTGTTGTCATTGTCAAACGCTGGTCTCTCTCCATAATTGAAGAATATTAGCCTATTATTATCATGACTATTATAGTTGTGTGACCCAATTTAGAATGGGCTACCCCCTTCCTTTCTTCTGGCGTAGAATGGGCCACTCCTTCCTTTCCCATGGATCTAGTAAGGGCGACTGAGGGAATTTAGGGAAAGATGAACAGCAGCGACTCTCTTAAAACATCACCAAAGCCTAACTGCGGTTGCTAACGCGCTTGCCAAGCGTGGCAACCACTGGAAAAACCCCCCCTTATAGAGGAGGCCTATATTCAGCAGCGGACAGTTAACGGTTAGAATAATAATAACATGGTAACTAAGCGCCTAATATACTATTTTATTTCGAGTTTTAAGTCTCCTGTTGTTCTCTGTTACCCTAGTCGCATAATATAGACACTCTAATGCTATAAAATCATGAAAACAAACAACTCAAGATTCCTTAGCACGCATTGTGATTTATGCGGTTTTGGAATGGCTTAAAACGCAAAACCGCGTACGAGCACGCAGTAAGGGACGCCGCGGGCTGATTTTCGTGGTAGGTTTGAAAATGGAATTTCTTGAGAGGAACATAATTATATGTTAACTAACACCTCTTGTGCGATTCTAATTTCCTAGTACTTTATAGAAAAATAACAGGATACTTTCACAAAGGGCGTGCCGTTGACGGCAGTATATTAAACCGTCTGTCTCTCTCTTTCGTTGCCTGCCAAACTGTAGCACATACACAATTGTGTTTCGTTTCGACGAATTCAGAGAAATGAGACGTAACTTAGTACTCAGTAATAAGAACACGTTATAGACGTTAAAATATGTTTGTAAATAAGATGGTTATGGGTTGGGGTGGGGGGGAGTTAATGTACCATACTGTATCATATCAGCCGTTAAGTATTCACTGCTGAACATGGGCTTCCCCTATTGATGAGTTTTACTAATAGTTGCCACGGTTGGCAGGCGGGTTTGCAAACGCAGTTAGACTGGTGATATTTTAATAAGGACGTTACATTCATCCCTCGACTTTTAAGTTCCTTTAGTTGCCTCTTACGACACTCACAGGAAAGAAGAGGTGGCCTTTTCTATGCCGGGATCACACGGTTAAAAGGGGTAAATTATAATGACTAGGAACTTCAGTTCTTATCATCTTTTCTCTCTTTGGTTCTCGTACTGTGTATTATAATACGTATCTCTTGTATTTACTGACCCCTTTTCTTGCAGATGAAGGAGATTCAGCACAACGCCAGTGCTGGTATCATTCTCAGCGACCAAAGTCTAGTTCTGCAGAGCGTGACCAGATCCGCAGCCGGTGATTACAGCTGTCTAGCGTCTAACAAAGAAGGAAGTACCACAAGCAACTCCGTGACACTACAAATAAGATGTAAGCTGTAGTAAATGTAGAGAATATAGTTTAATTTATTTATTTAAACTTTAATACACGGTGATACTATGCATATGGTGGACTTAACACCGGACGGTGTTCTCTACCAGTCAACCAATGGACAAATAGAGAAATAAGTAGTTATTGAATTTAGGAAATATAAAAAGCAATACTTAAAATACTTATATATTTAAATTAATTAATAATAATTTGTTTAATATAAGCATTGTATTTCACTGTAATGAATTGTGAAGAGAAATAAATCTGTTTATTATTATTATTATTAATTAAATTAATATAAATATACACATAATATATTAAATAAATAAATATATACATACTTATATAAATAAATACATAAATATTACTCAAACAATAGAAGAGCAAATAGAATAACCTATGACTCAAACAAAGTAACCAGCATGATAAAGTTTAAAGGGGAAGTTAGGAAAAAAATAGCAATATAGTTATGTTAGTAAAAAGACAAGGTGTTTAAGGGTAACACAAGGGTACCATGGGCGCTGCTTCGTTCACCATGTTCCATCAACGAGCTACCGGTTTCTTTGAAGAAACTTCTTTGAAGATATTATTGCCTAATAATATGTAATGTGACGTCATAGAATAAATATGGAATAACCAAGTTTAAGTGACAGAATATACTTAGCTATTAACCGGCTCAAATAAAATGCCAGTGAGCGAAAGTTAACGAACTGTGAATATCGCCTTTTATTTTATTGGCACGGTTATGTTACGAGGTTGAATTTAAGTGTATTTAGGGCGAGGCCTAATACGTGATCTCATAGACATGCATAGGGGTAGATGGCGCATGTAACTTTATATAAAAATTAAGCATACCATTATTTATTAGTTTACAATCTATTCGATATTACTTAGTTGTTTTTGTAGCGCTTTATTGTTTATAGGTATATTTAAATTATTATTATTTTTTGTAACATTAAAGATGTGTTTTTATTTTTGGTATATTTAAAGAAATTGCCTTTTTTTATACGACTTACAATGGCAAACAAGCTGACGGCTCACCTGATGGAAAGTGGTAACCGTCGCATATAGACATGGGCAGTACCATGGACATAACAGAGTATACTGTTTCGCCCATGATACCCCCCATGCGTTGCCATTCCTGAGGACTCAGGTGTTATTCCTCTGTACCCTGTAAATTCACGCCATATCTCACCCTTCAAGCCGAAACACAGCCATGCAAACACAACAGCTTCACGGTTGAAACACGAATGGGACAGAGGTACCCAAGCAGTCGACTTTTGTACAAAGTCTCCCTCTGTTTGCCTAGATATTTAATTTTCAGTTGCTTTTAAAATTTAAATTACTTGTTGTAATACTATAAAACCTATTGTTGATGTGGCTAAGGTTCAGTTTTCATTGCAGACGATTTTATAATAAAAAAAACACGTCTTTACCAATTGAATATTTTAATTGTACCGTTTCACAAACCGCTAGGAACGATTTATAATATTATCAACATGCATTGAACATATCGCCTTCCAAAGGGACCTCTTTGTAACACGTATATATGTTATACAAATTAATTAATTAAAATAAGACTAAACTCCTATTATCATATCAAATAAAAAAAAAAAAATGTAAAATCCTCTTCGAAAATATAATAATAATAATAAAATAATAATGGTATTGTTCTTATACAACTTACAAAAGGAGTAGGATTCTCATTAATTTTTGTTTTGTGCTTTTTTATTTTCATTCTTTTATCTCTTTTACTGTGTATTATGTGTATGTTTTTTTTTTTATTGTAATTTGTGTGCTGTAAGTAATGTAAATAAATTATCTATCTATCTATCTAACTTCTATTTTTTTATGTTACTTTAATCCTTCGTTGATTCTGTAGCGATTTTGACTGTTCTTTTTGCAATAGATATAGTTTACTTATGTGTTGATCTCATATTAATTTTGTGACCACTGGGAGCAAAATATAATTAATGACAATAAATATATTTTGCTCCTTGTCATCTTTCAAACTTTTTTAACATTATAATATTGGAACTATCAATTTAATTACTATTTTTTAATTAATTACATTTTCTTATTATTTATAGCACGTAGATGTTAATTCTAAATAGATTGAATCTGCATATTGTATTGTTAACTGTCTATCTAAGTAAATACTAATATTTATTACTATACATTAATTATTAATCGAAATTTAAACTGAGCGTATTACAAAGTATATTTCATTGCGTCATCTATTTATGTCTTTATATCTGTGGCTAAGGGTTTGAATTTATGTGTATTTAGGGTCAAGCCATAAACGGGAAGTCTTTTACCACTTGTTCTTGTAGATTCTAATGGTTTTCCATATAAGACTCCGATGGCTGTGAGTTCGAATCTCATAGAGTTCTCCAAAAGGGTAAATAGGTAAAGAGGTAAAGGGGGTAAAGAGTCTCTCTCATCTCTCTCTCTCTTATTAAATAGGCAGATAGTCCAAATTATAGCATACAGCCCCCCACTAGACGAGTGACGACCTCCAATGCATTGCAGGGAGTCAGTGGATGCAAGTGGCTAAGGACTGTTCCTTATGGCAGTCTATGGGTAAGGCCTATGTCCAGCAGTGGACGGATAATGGCTGAGACGATGATGATGATACTATGCAGCGACATTTTGTGGCTTAATCTTACCATGCACTTCACCAATGAGTTCCAAAATGAAGAAAATATTGTATAATATATATATAATAGTAATAAAAAATATAGTGTATAATTTTTTTTTATACAACTTAGAATGGCAAACAAGCTAACGGCCCATCTGATGGAAAGTGGTAACCGTCGCCTATAGACATGAGCAGTACCATGGACATAACAGAGTATACTGTTTCGCCCATAATACCCCGCATGCGTTGACATTCCTGAGGACTTAGGTGTTATTCCTCTGTACCCTGTAAATTCGATATCCCATCCTTCAAACCGAAACACAGCCATGCAAACATAACTGCTTCACGGTAGAAACACGAATGGGACAGAGGTACCAAAGCAATCGACTTTTGTACAAAGTCTCCCTCTGGTATATATTTAATGCAACCTTTACTTAAAGGTGATGATAATGAATTTTAGATATCATCAACTGGATTATTACATGATGGATACACTTCTGTGATACTGGAAGGAGACTTTGTACAAAAATCATCAGCTCGAGTGCCTCTATCCCATTTGTATTTCTGCCTTGAAGTAATTATGCTCGCATTGCATTTCATTTTGAAGGGTGACTAGTTATATGGCGTATAACTTAAGGGTGCGTGGTGACGCTGACTTTACAAGGTACAGAGGAATAACACCTGAGTCCTCACGAATGGTAACGCATGGAGGATATCATGGACGAAACAGTACACTCTGTTATGTCCATGCTACTGCTCATGTTTATAGGTGACGGTTACCACTTTCCATCAGGTGGGCCATCAGCTTGTTTGCCATTCTTCACCCTTCAAACCGAAACACAGCAATGCAAACACAACTGCTTCGCGGTAGAAACACGAATGGGACAAAGGTACCCAAGCAATCGACTTTTGTACAAAGTCTCCCTCTGCTAAATTATTAGTGTATTATTTACATTAATCACCAGTACAGAAGTCATGTACGGAGTAATAACATTTCACCAATAAAAGGGATCGTAGTTTAAACTTAAAAGAATTGAGACTTTGTATAATTTTCTGCTGGACAGGTAATTTATTAAATAACACTACTGCCTGATAACGTGTACCATGTTTGATAATGTCCAGACGGGGCACAAAGTTAGTAATAACTAACTTAATATACAGTATTACGGTATTTTTTTTTTATGGAAAACGTATACCTGAATTACAGTCAATACATAATCAAATTTATGTCTATGTTAAGCCATAAAACTATTTGTTTTTAGGCCAATAAATATTTTCAATTCTATTCTTTTCTTATTTCCATGGTGTCATTCATGTCTATAGGCGGTTACTTTCCACCATGTACACTGTCAACTTGTTCGCCATTCTGAATTTGAAAATATCATTTATTAAGTAGTTTCCATGCAGTAGAAGTCGCAGCAATAGCCAATATGTCATGACAATATTTTTTTACAAAAAATGGAAATGGTTTAAAAAAAAAATACGAGTCATCAATTACATTAAGAAATGTTAAACTAAGTTTCTAAGATGGAATATTTCCGTCATTTTTGTTGGTGAGAGGTTTTTCTTCGAAGCGCTAGGTAGGTGCTTGAGATGTTGATCGATTCTTCCCGTTCACCCACTCTCATATTTCATTCGTTCAATAATTTCTTATCCGTACATTTATTGAGCTCATTTCTTCTTAATACCATTATCAAAATGTTGCCTCTCGTTGCTTTACTCACTTAAAACTTTATAATTATACTAGTTTTTACCCGCGATTTTGTCTATATTATGAGATATATTCACTGTAAGGAGACTGTACAAAAGTCGTTTGCTTGAACACCTCTGTCCCATTCGTGTTTCTAACGTGAAGCAGTTGTGTTTGCATGGCTGTGTTTCGGTTTGAAGAGTGGGATATGGCAGTGAATTTACAGGGTACAGAGGAATACATGTAAATCGCATGGCGAAACAGTATAATCTGTTATGTCCATGACTACTCATGTCTATAAAAGACGGTTACCACTTTCTATCAATAGAAACATGAATGGGACATAGGTGCCCAAGCAAATGATTTTTAGTCATATGGTAGTATAATAGCAATTAAACTTTCAGATGCACCGATGTGTAAAGTTTTCAACGACGGGGAGGTGTACGGAGCGTTGAAACAAGAGACTGTACAGTTACTGTGCACTGTGGACTCGAGTCCACCGCCTACCAGCTTCAGTTGGACCTTCAACAATTCTGGCGAAACTATACAACTGTCTCCCAAGTAAGTAGTGTTTATCTTTTACAATTTACGTAATTTTTCTGCATGCGTGTAGGTATATCACTGAACTCATGTTAAACCGCTAAATCGATTTTGATTATTTTTTTATGTCTCTACGTCTACGTCCAGGTACCGAGTTGGTTTCTAATTGTCAGATTGAGGTGGCATTGACGATAGGATTCCAGAAATATTTATTTTTAATACACCTCAAAAAAGAAGGTTCTCATTTCGGTTTTATTTCGCTTTTTCTATTTATTACCTTATAACTTATTATTGTTATTAACCGATTTGAAAATTTATTATTTATCTGAAAGGATGTATTTTCAGATTGTTCGTGTAAAAACTTAATTGTAATCTATTCATTAATTTAGTTAACAAATCAAAATAATTAGGTTTTCCATGTTTCAAGTCGGTGTTTTTTTTTTGTGAAACAAAATTTTGAATTATTCGTTTTTTGAAAATTTTTCAAATATAAATACATAACAATAAATTTATGGCGTGAATTTACAGGGTACAGAGGAATAACATCTTAGTCCTCAGGAATGGCGACGCATGGGGGTTATCATGGGCGAAACAGTATACTCTGTCATAGTGACATTTTGACATTTTTTGATACTAATAGTTTTATTAGTGATTTTTATTTGACAAAAGATACAATGTATCTTTCTAAATCATCTAAAAATAAAATAGCCACTTTAGTGGCTTATAATATTGACTACATGAACAGTTTACATGGTAAACTTAAACATAAAAATGCTGACATAACAGATAATTCTATTAATATTTGTGACATAGGTACTATGACTGCAGATTTAAACTGCTCACAAAGACAAAGGGAAAGCAATCAGAATTAATAATTGTTCATCAGAACATACAAAGTTTTCCCGGCAGCGAGTTAATTATACAATTATTTTTAGAAAAGTATAATATTGATATTGTCTGTTTCACAGAACATTGGCTTAAAGAAAGCAATATGATGTTCAATTTAAATAATTATAACGTTGTCAGCTGCTTCAATAGAAAGTCAGTTAACAGAGGCGGGTCTATGATAATTGCAAGAAATAATATTAAAGTAAAGGAACGTGCTGACATTGTTAGACTTTCTATTGAGTGTTGTATAGAATTATCTTGTATAGAACTAGAAAATTATATCCTTATATGTGTGTACAGGCCTCCTAATAGTGATTACAATGTTTTTGAAGGGGTGATGGAGGATATTTTAAAAAAAGTATTTAATAGTATTAAAAAAATTATTGTATGTGGAGATTTTAACGTTGATATTCTTTGTAACACACCCACATGTACAAAAATTATTAGTTTATTTCAGTCATTTGATTTATGTCATGTCTTTCATGAACCCACTCGTGTAACTGCCACGTCTGCTACTTGTCTTGACAATGTTTTTTGTAACTGCGAGTATACAGAAAAATTCATAATAAATAAACTTCCTTCAGATCACTGTGGTCAAGTTGTTAAGTTTAGCAGTCAAATCAATAAAGTCAACAATAATAAAAAATCAAAAAGACAAATAAACGTTTACAATATTAATAAATACAAAAGCGCGATTAAAAATAAATTGGATTTGCTGTTACAATCTAGTAATAATCCTGATTATCTTTACACCAAGCTAATTAATATTTTATCCGGAGAATATGAACAATTTTTCAAGAAAAAAGAAGTTCATGTTAAATCTAAATTCACGGAATGGGCAACAGTAGGAATACTTAAAAGTAGAAATATTTTGTTTGATTTATACGATCAAAAAAAATATCGATTTGATGACAAATTCACCACTTATGTAAAAAATTATTCTAAAATTTTTAAAAAAGTTTGTATTATGGCTAAGTCTAATTATTTTAATAAACAAATTAAGCAGTCTTCTGACAAAATTAAAACCATCTGGAGCATTATAAATAAAGAAACTGGAAGATCTAAAATAGCCTGTAATCAATTTACATTAAATTATGATAATAAATTAATAACAACAACAAAATATGTAGTTAATATTTTTGAAGATTTTTTTGCTAATATTCCGATTGATATTACATCTTCTCTGGACTCATCTCAATCTCGAGCAAAAAAATTACTAGAGACTAATATCGGTTGTTGTTCTTTAAGATTTAAATTTTCACATGTTAGCCCCTTTCATATCATAAAAATATTCAAACAGCTAAATTTAAAAAATACGGAAGACCTTTGGGGCATGTCTGTAAAAGTAGTTAGTTCTTTCATAGATATTGTTGCTCCATATCTAGCCACTATTTTTAATAAATGTATTGATAATGGCGTTTTTCCACATTTAATGAAATTTAGCAAATTAATCCCACTATTTAAATCAGGAGATAAATTTGAGCCAGGGAACTATAGACCTATATCTATTTTGCCAGTTCTAAGTAAGGTGTTTGAAAAGATAATGTTAAATCAAATGTTACATCACTTCAGGGTTAACGGACTGCTTCACAGTCAGCAATATGGTTTCACCGCCGGCAAGTCTACCACTGACGCAGGTGTTGCGCTAATGACACATATTTTCGAATCTTGGGAGAGGTCACAGGATGCACTCGGAGTTTTTTGTGACCTATCAAAGGCATTTGATTGTGTGGATCATAAAACGCTTTTGTACAAGCTCGAACATTATGGTATAAGAGATAATGATCTAAAATTAATGAGAACTTATTTAGAGGATAGGGTTCAAACTGTAGATATTGACGGTGTGAAATCTAAGGGAGCTAATATTAAGATGGGCGTTCCACAAGGGTCAATCTTAGGCCCCTTTCTCTTTTTAATCTACATAAATGACCTTCCCTTTATGGTAGAGAAAATTGCAGATATAGTGCTGTTTGCGGATGATACTTCGTTAGTGTTTAAAATTGGACGTCAAAGTAATCAATTAGACGATGTAAATTGTGCTATGTCTGCAATATTAAATTGGTTTACATGTAATAACCTATTATTAAATTCCAGCAAAACAAAGTGTATAAAATTTACACTTCCTAATGTAAGACTAATAAATACACAGTTATTGCTTAATGACGAAATAGTAAATTTTGTTAATGATACAGTTTTTTTAGGTATAACAGTGGACTCGAAATTACAATGGGGGCCCCATATTTCAAAATTGGCCAGTAGACTCAGTTCTGCTGCATATGCAATTAGAAGAATTAGGCAATTAACAGACGTGGCGACGGCTAAACTTGTATATTTTAGTTATTTCCATAGCATAATGTCTTATGGCATACTGCTGTGGGGTAAAGCAGCCGATATAAATACTATATTTGTTTTACAAAAGAGAGCCATACGTTCTATTTATGGTATGGGTTCAAGAGAGTCATTACGTCAGTGCTTTAAGGACTCAAATATCCTCACAGTTACTTCACAATACATTTATGAAAATATTATGTATACACGGAAGAACTTAGCGAGTTTTAAAAAACTCAAAGACTGTACAAGTAGAAACTTACGCAATATAAATAAGCTTATTTTACCTAAATGCCGTCTGCACAAAATCAGTAATTCATTCTATGGTAATTGCATAAGATTTTATAATAAACTGCCGGAATCTGCATTAAATCTGACAGAGAGGCAATTCAAATCTTATATTAAACAAATTTTATGTAAGAAAGCCTATTACAGGATAGACGAATTCATAGATGACAACATATCAAGTAAATAATTAGTTTATTAGCATACAACGTTATAATTTTATTTTCTCATTGCTTTCTTGATTTAATTGATTAATTTTAGAAATATGAAAGCGTAGCGGTTTTTTGTATTAATTGCCGCATGCATTCTTATGTAAAATGTGAATACTATAACTATCAGATGGCAATTGTGAGTAGCTTTGACGTGGTCTAGTGTTTTGAGTAGTCATGCTCACTAAAATGTCCAGACTTGTGGCGGCGTGGTGGGCCGGGTCATTGGGCTCCCTAAAATATGGTCGAGCGCAGTGATGGCTGGCTCATCCGTCATACTCGTGAACGGGTGCTGCTTGTAGGGACTGGTCTGCTCTAATCACTATGACTGATTTCCTCTTATTATTTGTTTAACCAGTTGGTTATGTATTCAATTTTTTTTTTCTTTTTTGAGTATTTAATTGAATTAGTGCTAATTGGTGGTTTGTATTCACACAATTAAACTTAAAAATGTAAAATAATAATAAAATTATTTAAAAGAGCATCACGCAAGTTTCTTGCTCGTTCTTCTTGTGATGAGACAGCTTTCCGAACGAGCGGTAAATTAAAAAAAATGTAATGACTTTTCAAAAGTGCTTCAATGTAAGTTTATTTGAATAAATGATTTCTATTCTATTCTATTCTATTCTCTGTTATGTCCATGGTACTGCTCATGTGTATAGGCGACGGTTACCACTTTCCATCAGGTGGGCCGTCAGCTTGTTTGCCATTCTAAGTTGTATAAACAAAAGTTAAAATTTTATTATATTCCTAAGATATATATATATATATATATATATATATATATATATATATATATATATATATATATATATATATATATATATATATATATATTATACGTCATCAATCTTTTATAGCATCCTCTGAACGATATCAGATTTAGATGAAACTATCAGCCAACTTTATAGAATTTAATTCCTATACTAAATTAATTTGTTAATTTAATTGGATAGGCTCGGCAGGTAGAGTAACCATGGTAACGTAACCGAGCCCAAATATATTGTATCCATTTATAATATTAGAGGAATACCGCAGCAAATTGAGACTGATTAAGTATGGGTCAACGATCTGTCAGTTAACCACTAGACGCTAACTAGTGTTTACTTGTTCGTAAGAATACATTTGTTTAACCATCATAGAGAAGGTCACCCCTTTCTTTCCCATGGGTATCGTTAGGGGCGCCTAAGAGAGTTTATGGTCCAGGGACGGGCAACAGCGTCCCTCTTAAATCATCACCAAAAGCTTAACTGCAATTAACTAAGCTTTTTTTATAGCACTGAAATGGCAAATAATCATACGACCCACCTGATGGAAAATGGTAACCATCGCCTATAGACATGAGCAGTACCATGGACATAACAGAGTATACTGTTTTACCCACGCCATTTTCGTAGTCCTTTAAAATTATAATGTTTCGATACATTTTTCATTACGCCAGGTATCCTATATAAATACAGCCCACTGAAAAGGACCTCTAAAAGTTTTTACTTACATTAATATTATATTAATAAAATTTACATAGCAATATATATTTTTTTGGGGATAAGTGATGTCTGATGCTGAATAAACATTACTTTTTTATGCATTTTTTTTTCAAATAGTACTGGGACTGACGTCTGACATGTCTATGAATCGTAGCATAATATTAAATTTAATACTACATGACCCGATGAACTTTATATCACCTATAACGCCATCTATTGAAAGTATATCGAAATAACGATTCCGATACAATATTACCTATTTAAATCGATCATTTGGGGGGAAAGGGATTTTTAGTAATGGAGACTGAGAATCCCATTGCTAGCAATATACCCAACCAGGTCGACGTCCTCGCGGTTCCCCCTGGAAACTATCATGGTTAATTCCTGATGAATTCATCATGATGCGCTAACTGGCCTGTTTTCATTCTCATCTATCACCCTTCACTGGTGCTCCGCCAGCGTGTCCTGTTAGCGCAGGCGGGGTTACCATACCATTTTCACCCATCAAAAAAAATCGATCATTTTTATTAGTTTTTTTTATTATTATAGAATATTATAGAATAATATGTAGTTTACAGAAGATGAAGATTTTTGGTATTTTGAAACTATATTCGAATTATTAGTTTAGTTTTTAAAATAAAATAACTGATTTTGTCACAATTAATGTCGTTATATATTATTAATTGCGAAGCAAAATCTTAGAAAGAAAGAAGTATTTTTATTCAAGTAAACTTAGATAAAATTCGACAATCCGTTTGCCAAGCGTGGCAACTACTGGAAAAACCCCCCATGGGGGAGGCTAAGTTCAGCAGTAGAAAATTAAAGACTGATTTGATGATGATGATGGAATTTAGATTTAAGCATTTTTGAAAAGTCATTTTTTTCGTTATTGCCCATTCGGATCTCAATTTCAGCCATTTTACTCATCTCTCTCTTCTGATAAATTAAATAAATGTTTATTTTCTTTAAGCCTGTATACAGTATCCGGCTACACGTCGACTCTGAATTACAAACCGACGACCGACATGGACTACGGCTCGATTTTGTGTACAGCGAGCAACGTGGTGGGGAAACAGGGAGTGCCGTGCCTTTACAAATTAGTCGCTGCAGGTAACTGATCGCTTTCATTGTTGTACCCGTACTGGTTGTAGTGATTTCTGTGAATCAATTTATAAAGTGTTCTACGAGTTAGAATATAACCTATTCTTGTGCTAATTATCATTCAAATCCGTTCAGCTGTTTGAGCGTAATTGAGTTCTGAGGAAATGTTCGAATTGATACCTGCTGCTGATTTTCACCACAACAATCCGTCACAAATTAATGTTCCATCCCCACCATTTGGACGAGTGGCGGTTTTCCACTGTACGTTTTTCAATGCACTTTCTTCCAAGTATTTTATACTGCTGTTAGAAGTTAAAGCATGGTTGTGCCATGTTTTAAAAGAGCATATTCCTTTTTAAAAGGCCGGCAGCACACCTGCAATGCTGTTGGTGTTGTTAGTGATCATGGGCGGCGGTAGTCACTTACCATCAGGTGAGCCGCATACTCGTTTGCCCCCTGTGTTATAAAAAATAAATAAATATTTAATCAATTAATTAAAGTAATTAAGTATTTAATTACTGATTAATAATTAAATACTTAATGAATAATTAATAATGAAATTATTAATATTCATTAATTCATTATTAATATTCATTAATTCATTATTAATATTCATTAATTCATTATTAATATTCATTAATTCATTATTAATATTCATTAATTAATTATTAATATTCATTAATTAATTATTAATATTCATTAATTAATTATTAATATTCATTAATTAATTATTAATATTCATTAATTAATTATTAATATTCATTAATTAATTATTAATATTCATTAATTAATTATTAATATTCATTAATTAATTATTAATATTCATTAATTAATTATTAGTAATCATTAATTAGTTGTTAAATAATAATAAATGAAAGTAACAACCATATTCTATTAAGTATGATAAAATATAAGTATTACAAATGCAATGCGGAATTTGTAAACAAATAAAGACATTGATGCAACGAGAAAAAAAAAATATGCTCAAGGCATTTGGAATGTAGGATAGGAGGAGATAAAAATGATAAGTTTGACAGAAAAAAACAAACAAGAACATATTAACAGGAGTAAATAAATAATCAAGTACAATCAGTGTTAATGAAAATACTCGTATTAATGAAAATAATGAAAAAAATCTCAATTAAAAAAATGTTTATTAAGAAATAGAATTTGATTTTAATGAAACGTGTCAAGAATTACAAATTTTCTCAGGTTATTTTAAGTTATTTTTTTCAGGTTTCTTTTTATCATATTTCTTTTTACGTTTGTTACCTCATAACTTCGTTAGTAAACCTATTCGGAAAAAAATATATATTTACAGATTTGTCTCATAAAAGTTTTATCAAAATTAATTCAGCTTTTTAGTTTTTAAATCAAAACAACTGGTTATAAATTAGTTTTATTTTTATGGGATGTTAAAAATCACATAATTAAGATAGTCTTAATTATGTGATTTTTATTACTCCTCAAAATACAGAAGCATTTTTCTAAAAATTTTTTTTTTATTATCGTTTCTATTGTCAAGTAGCTATTTTTATAAAATCAATAAAGTACCGGAATCTGGGAGACAATGAGGTATTTTTCCCATTTAACAACAACGAATTAATACCAAGAAACGGACAAGTTTAAAAATGGAACTCAATTATTAAAGAGAAAGAAAATAAATTGACTTAATGGAATTAATAATGAAATTTATATAATTACTAGTTTATACCCGCGACTCTGTCTGCATGACAGGTATATATTGATTAATTGTAAAGTAGCTTGCGTCCTTCTTAATCTTAAATCAACAAACAAACTCAATTTTAGACTTATAATATTAGTAACTATTTTCTGTATATTTTTTAATAGTTGTTCAGGAAGAGTTTGTTTTACCAGAGAGAGACTTTGTATAAAAGTCGATTGCTTGGGTACATCTGTCCCGTACACTGGGTCACTTGTAAACCTATTTACGAGCTGCGAATGGATTAATGACAATGCAATTCATTTATATTTTGTACAAGTTCAAATGTAAATCTACCCACGCAATTGCAACATTTTAATTTTTACCTATTTGTCGCTGGAAGAAAGTAGTATCTATGATACAGGCTCGGCCTAGTATAGATGCTACTGGTAAATCATATGTATGATGCGTATTTAACAAAAATGTAATAGTTTATAAGAAGAATAACTGTAACTACTTAAGTTGGAGTCAATAAAATATATTATTATTATTATTCGTGTTTCAACCGTGAAGCAGTTGTGTTTTCATGGCTGTGTTTCGGTTTGAAGGGGGATATGGCGTGAATTTACTGAGTATAGAGGAATAACACCTGAGTCTTCAGGAATGGCAACGCATGTGGGGTATCATGGGTGAAACAGTATACTCTGTTATGTCCATGGTACTGCTTATGTCTATAGGTGACGGTTACCACTTTCCATCAGGTGGGCCGTCAGCTTGTTTGCCATTTGTATAAGTTGTATAAAATAAAAAATAAAAAGAAAGACTAATAAGTTTACATAGTCCTCTGATTTACAGGTGTCATTCCCAATCACTTACACCATAGTCTAAAACAAATAGGTCTACGAAAAAATCTCTACATCTGCCTACAAAAGGCTGACATACCTATTGAATAGTCAGAAAATTCTTAGATGAGGATGAAGTAGCCACCCGTCATACACAAGCATAACCTTCCATACAAAACATACACACTGCACTTACTTGGTCACGTACCCGTAAGTGTATTTACCAGCGCTAAAAGCTGAGAAATTTTAAAGACAAATAATAATAATAAATTTATTGCCATTCTTTATAAATATGGTACAGAAATTATCATGTAGGTATATTATAATAAATAAATAAATACATATTATACATAAATTAAATAAATTAACACATAAAATACACATACATATAGTAGGTGTACATAACATTGACTATACATTGCATGCATAAAAATGTCAGAATATAACTGAATAAATAAAATTTACAATAATAAATACATATTAATTATTATAAAATTTAAATACAAAACAAGACTAGGTAGTACGATCAAATCTACATGATCTATTATACAATACTTTACCAACCCAATGAGTCAGGGGGGAAAGGGATTGTTAGTAATGGGGTCAAATAGCCCTATTACTAGCAATATACCCTGTCAGGTCGACCTCCACGTGGTTCCCCCTGGAAACCATCGTGACTAATTCTAGTTTAATTCGTCAGGATGGACTAACTGACCTACTTTCATCTTCATCTGTCATCCATCACTGGTGTCCCGCCAGTGTATACCAATAGCGCAGACGGGGTTACCATACCATTATTACCCATTAAAAAAAAAAACCCAATAAGTCATGGGTTATGTCGATATCTGAATTTGAACCGCATATATGACTATATGTATTTATTGAAAATTCTCACACACATTTTGTCTATATCAATAATAAAAAATAATAAAGAATGAATATTTAACTATTTTATTTTAATTTATTATAAAATCTCTACAAAGAGTTTCGTACTTAATTATACGATATAAGAGCGTATACGACCTCTTTTCTGCTCTTTGACGTCACGCCGCCATGTTGTAATTTAAAAATATGAAAAACATAATGATGAATGAATGAATGAATGAATGAATGAATGAATGAATGAATGAATGAATGAATGAATGAATGAATGAATGAATGAATATTTATTTGCAAGAAATATGGTAAATATACAGATAGATAAAATAATATCAAGTCCACATATTTCGCCACAATTAGGCATGCAAAATTTTAAAAACTTAAATATTAAATTAACAATTCTTATAACAAAACAATATGTCAATTACAATTTCATGTCAATTAATGTACTTCATCTCATTTGATATATTAGTAAGTCTGTGATTAGTGTCAACAATATTATTATTATATTAATTAATTATCATTTCACTTTTAATTTCAAAAATTCATTAATTGAATAGAAACAATGTTCAATTAGCCATTTTTGCAATTAAGATTTAAAAAAATTAAGAGGTAATTTTTTGAAGTGCTGGGGAATTTTATTATAAATATTAATAGACATAAAACAGCAGTTCCTTTGATATAGAGAAGTTTTACATTTTAGTACAACTAATTTAGTTAAATGTATTAAATAAATTTAGATTAATTAATTTAGTTAGTGATTAATCAAAAAGAGAAATAAACAAATATGACTCTTTAATTTTTAGGCAACACGGTCTCCGACCTTAGCCTGTTTCATAACAGAACAAACGTACTAAAAAAAAACAAATATGACATTACTGTCATATCTGTGTTAGTTTTTTTTTTTCAATGGATGAAGATGGAACTCTATTCCATCTTATGCTAACAGTATACAATGACGGGGCCCTAGTGGAGGATGAAACAATGTGGTTAAAGTTGAGTTTATTAGCCCATAGTGATGAATTTACTAGGAATTAGCCACGATGGTTTCGTGATAGGTCGTACAATGCGGTTCAGTCTGCAAGTGCAATGTACAATGTAATTCGAACCTTAATAACACTTTATAAAATGCAGTTTTGTATCGAAAACAATACGAAAAGAGAACTAATTCGAAATTCAAAATTTCCAATAGGTCGACCGATGCCGCTGCAGAATTGTTCTGTTGTAAATCAAAGTTCAAATAGTTTGCAAGTAGAATGCACAGAGGGCTTCGACGGTGGCTTACTGCAAACGTTCTACATGGAAGTACTGGAGCTGCCTTCTTTGATGGTAAGCACATAAAATTGTTGTAGTATTATTCTAATCGTACAATAGATAAAAGTCCTTGTTAGTTGTGGGGATTGTTGGCGCTTGGTGGAGTTAGGAGTTTTGTTTTATATGTTATAATGCTATTGTACTACTTCCACAGCCTAACTGCGGTTGCCAGGGGGGAAAGGGATTGTTAGTAATGGAGTTCATTAGCCCCATTGCTAGCAATAAACCCTATCAGGTCGACCTCCACGCGGTTCCCCCTGGAAACCATTGTGATTAAATTATATATAGTGTATTTCATGACGATGGGCTAACTGGCTTGCTTTCATTGTCACCTATCATCCTTCACTGGTGCTCCGCCAGCGTATCCCGTTAGCGCAGGCGGAGTTACCATTCAATATTCATCCATCAAAAAAAAAATGCAGTTGCCAAATCGCCTGCCGAATATGGCGACTACTGGCAATACTTCTCCTTATGGGGAAGGCTTATGTTCAACAGTGGGCAATTAATAGCTGATATGTATAATAATGATCGTGACTACGTCTACAGATTTTTTATTTAACTATATTTAATTATTTCCTTTTTTTGAATTCAATTACAGTTTACCAGAGGAAGACTTTGTACAAAACTCGTTTGCTTGGGTACCTCTGTCCCATTCGTGTTTCAAGCGTAAAGCAGTTGTGTTTGCATGGCTGTGTTTCGGTTCGAAGGGTGGGATATGGCGTGAATTTACTGGGTACAGAGGAATAACACCTGAGTCGTCGGGAATGGCAACGCATGAGGAGTATCATGGGCGAAACAGTATACTCTGTTATGTCCATGGTACTGCTCATGTCTATAGGCGACGGTTACCACTTTCCGTCAGGTGGACCGTTAGTTTGTTTGCCATTCTAAGTTGTATAAAAAAAACTTATTAACTGATATAATCTAGCTCTCTATAAGTGATATGTTAAATATTTAGCCGTTAACTGTCTACTGTTGAACATAGGTCACATATTTGAGGGATTGGCCAGTAGTTGCCACGCTTGGCAAGTGAATTAGCAACCGCGGTTAGACTATGGAAGTAGTATAAGAGCGAGAAAAAGAGAATTTCTAACTCCACCAAACGTTAACAATCTCTATCTCTGACAGAACAATTTATTTATCTGTTATTTGATTATTTAACTTGTTTAGAATTAACAAATTGATTAAACATTTACTAAAAATTGAAATTAATTAAAAATTGTATAGAATAGAAATTATGTATATGTTATATAGGTCCGAGCGAACATATCTTCGAATAGTACCCCTTACTTCGAGGTGCCAGATTTAGACAGTAGGTCTAGCTACACTGTCATACTATATGCGGCCAACGCTAAAGGCAGGAGTGAATCGGTCAACTTGTATACAGTGGCTTTGAGGTCTCCTGATAAATATACAGGTAATTACAACAGACAATTATAAAGTTTATTTTTGTTTTGTTTTATTATAATATTGTCGACCATAACTTACATTTTCAAATGTATTTTTTGTTATTGTTTTTTTTAATTATTGCTATTTTTATTTACTATATTTCCATATTATATCCTATCCCTTTATAATGGACTATTAATTTACATATATTAATGTTTATTAACTTAAGTTATTTACTAATAAGAAATTGATTTATGTTCTTCCAAGAAAACCAATTTTAATCTTGAATAAATTACTATGGAACTAATAGGATGGATCATCAGTACGCGTCATACCAAGTTGTACACAATAATACTAGAGCACGTACCTCAGGTACACTTGTGTTTAAAAAAAAAAGAATAATATAAAATGATTAAACAAATGGCGAAGTTATTCACAAGAAGCAATTTCTTACTTCTTAAAGAAAATCGTTATAATTGTGAGCTTGTTAGTTACAAAGGAAATAGTTACACCTACACGCGCGCATACACACACATACACATGTACACATACACGCACACGCACACGCTCACGCTCACGCACACGCACACGCACACGCACACGCACATGCACATGCACACGCACAACATACGCACACGCACACGCACACGCACACGCACAGGTACGCACTCACACAAACAAGCTCAAATGAATTTATAGGAGTATCCTCTTTTTATAAACTAATCAAACATTGTGATTTAGGCGCCAGCACTTCGATTCCGCTGTCGCCGATGCTGGTGTGCCTGCTGGCGGTGGCAGCGTTGCTGTGCACCGGTATCTGCGGAGTGATCACCGCGTTATACCGGCGACATGCTGCCAGGAGGCATGATATTGATAAGCGCCTGCCCACGTAAGTTCTTTTTATGCAGCTTTACAAATTCCGTGGTGCAATTCTAGGCACAGTACTTTGCGTAAATGAGGTCCTGGCTTCATTTCCCGATCGAGCTAATTTAGGAAACGAAATTTTCCTGAACTGATTTTGATTTACCTGTTATGGATTGTGTTCCGACATCTTCTTTGGCTGATTCCTCATAATATAGGGTTTAGTTTGAGAACTAGATGCTTGGTGTAGTCGTATGGAGAAAAAAAATTTTTGTATATTCCTTTTTTTTGTATTTTCTATCAGCTAACCATTAGGTAAAAATGAAAGCAGAGAGGTAAGAGAGGCAGAGGTGGTGAAAAATGAACTAATATGAAATATATATATATATATATATATATATATATATATATATATATATATATATATATATATATATATATATTAAACAATAATAAGAATTATGAAATATAGTAACTATTGAGTAATTTGTAGCTAGAGCTGGTTTTGTTAACTTAACAAATAATTAAATAATTGAAAAGTTAATCAGTATATTTATTTATTTATTTAAACTTTAATGTATAATAAAATTCTATGTATATTTGACTTCAGACCGGACTGGATTTTCTACCAGTTAACCATTGAGCAAACTGAGAAATAAATAGGTGGTGCATTATTGAATAGAGAAAATATAAATTAGTACTTGATATATTCATATAATATAAACATATAATTAGTATATGTATTAATTTATTATATGTATTATTAATAATATATTGTTACCACAACAATGTAATTTTACAATAAAAATGAATTTGGAAATAACATATATAACATATATTACAATGTATACGAAATAAAATTTATAATAGTAGATTATTTAGTATCAAATTTACTTTTGTTTTATTGTAAAGAAGGCACTTCAATATTAATTTATTACTCAGATAATATCCAATATTATATTGTATTACTTCAGTTCAGCCAATAATTTGAATAGTAACTTTTCCATATGAAAGAAGGTTCATCGTTCTTTCAAAATTATTCAATATACTATCTCATAATTCCGGGAATATTTTTATTGGGATACATTGAAAACAGTCTTATTTTGCTAATGTCTTAAAATTACTTAGGCACTAGACGATGTGTAGATATGGGAGATATTTAAGAAAAAAACAATATAAGTGCTCTTAATAAAACTGGCACATGTCACGATAATATTTTTTTATAAATTTCATTTATCTGTCTGTATCTAAGAACAAGGAATTACATAGAAGGAATGATAAAATAGAAATTGTAAATCATATGGTCACCTCCTTTCTTCTTATGCAAATGCAATTAGTAAAAAGAGGACGAAAGCTACACCATCAGTTGCTATTCTTGTCAGTTCTTAGCTGGCTAGTGTATAAAATTTTTTTTTTATACAATTTAGAATGGCAAACAAGCTGACGGCCCACCTGATGGAAAGTGGTAACCGTCGCCTATAGACATGAGCAGTACCATGGACATAACAGAGTATACTGTTTCGCCCATGATACCCATCATGCATTGCCATTCTTGAGGACTCAGGTGTTTTTCCACTTTGAATTTTTATAAAATATTTTCACTGAAACCAATCATTTTAAATCGTTAACACTCGAAGCTGCTTCGGTAAAATTAATACTTTATATATATAATATTTTAAATAATTTGTTGCTAAACAAATTAAGCTATCCGTACCGCAACTCGTGTAATTTCATTTCATACAAACTTTACTCATAAAGCATTGTACTACGTATGTGGTATTGACGTGTAATACATATGTATATGTTTTATATATCTACATGCATATTGTACATAATTCCAAACATTCGCTTTGTGACTGCTATTGTTTAGAATTACAATATACTATATAATTGGAATACACTGTAATACGTTGAATTTACTTCTATCATGCATGAGAAATTGTATGCCGTTATTCTAATTTTGGCTTTTTGAGGGTAGTGTCATATTAAATTATTGAGCATTTCATGATTTATAAATACTTAATCTAATTTCGACTACATCTTTATGACATCGCATTAGCTGAACATAGACTTCCCCCATAAGTGGGGTTTTCCAGTAGTACGCTTGGCGGGTGGGTTTGGCAACTGCAGTTAGAATTTGATGATGTTTTAAGAGAGATGCTGCTGCCCATCTCTCGTCCTCTCCTAGTCGCCTCTTACGACACCCACGGGAAAGGAAGGCGTGGCCCATTCTATGCCGGGACCACACGTTTTTATTCGTATTTATTATTAAAAACTAATATTTTGTTATTATTAAATGAGACCGATTTGTCTGACTTACGATCATGTCACGTCCGCTCATGACTAAGGGTCCTAGATGGTCCTGAAACTAGTCGAGCATTCTCGACTAAAATATATATTTTAGCAAGTGAAACCGGTAGTTATTATATTAAAATAAAAACTATTTTGTTACAGAAATGCTTTATACACAGAGCAAAGTGTGGAATCTCTATCCAAACATGACAACCTGAACACATACTGTGGCTCCCCCAAGCTGGACTATTGCAGCCAGTACGAGCTGAGTGCGGAAGGTGAATTGGAGGAATCAGATCCTGATATTATACCTTGTCATTATGGTAAAATATTGTTATCACTAATTTCTTTTTTAACCGACTTTAAAAAAAGAAGGAGTCTCTATTGTATTATATAATTTGTATGTATGTTATCTCGTAACTCAATATATAAATCAGTTGTTTTGTTTTAAAAACTAAACTACTGAATCGTTTTGAAAAAAAAATTATGCGATCAATCTGAAGGTATATTTTTTTTAGATAAAGAAAAAATCTAAATGGGTTTATAATTGACGGTGTTATAAGACAGTGCTTTTTAATCTTTTTCATGACGCGACCCCCTTAGTATGTAAAAATATTTTGTGACCCCTACCCTCCACGATTTCGAAAGTGTATAAATTTTTTTATAGTACAATTATGAAATCCGTACAGTTGTATTTATATTCACAGTTAGGTATCGATGTAATAAAATAAATAATAGATAATAAAATATCTAAAACAGACAGACAGACAGAATCGATGTCTGTTATAAATACTTCATTATATATTATTGACTGATTGATGTATTTACAGAACTGTTGATTTTTCACTGCTTTGCGACCTTCCATGACCCTCTTGTAGAGGCACGGGGACCCCCCAAGGGGTCGCGACCCACACATTGAAAAACACTGTTATATAAGGTAACAAACATAAAAGAATACCGCCGAATTGAGATCCTGCTTTTTTGAAGACGGTTAAAAATGAAGTAAACTATTTGATATGGGTGAGATCTCCCTCTCTTCCTTTTACGAGATTACAAATAAATTAATTTATTTAATATGTCGATATATTTTAAGTCGTTCGCTTAGTGTAGTGAAATAATAGGAAAACAAAATGTTTCCAGAGACATTATAATTTATCTGTTGTCTCTGTAAATGAAATTTGGACGATTCCTGCGCATTATCTGTTTGTATAATTAATGGACCCAATCATATAGATTTTTAATTAAATATTCAAAAAGTTTTTCAAGATTAGACTTTTTCTTAAAAAAATATGGGTCTTTTCATAAATACTATTACAACTGCAAGTCTAAATTATTGAATGCAGAAAATTTAAAGCATATCAATAGTTCTATAAAACAAAGAGTATAAACGGTAAAATAAATGTAGATTTTGAAAAATATCTAATTACATTTTTATTTGTTTTCTCAATTTTTTTTGGCGCACGTTGGTTGTACAAATACCAATTGCATTATTAAGTTTGCGCATTTTCATAATGACCTCCATTGTTAAAAACAGTGATGGTGACACAGAATTTAGCCTTATATTCATAAATGTTGTGACCTGTTGTGAATGTAGAGTATTTGGCACTTTTTCAAATTGACAATTCAAAATGAAAAGGCAAAATACTCCAGTAGCTAAAAATAGGTTTATTGGACGTTTTTATGAATAAGGGGGTAAGTGTATGTTTTTCAGACAGGAAGCTGGTCAACGAGTTCAGTAAACTGCCGAGTCCAGAGGTCATGTTCAATCCCTATGGAGCAAATGGTGAACGAACAACAAATTTTCCAACTAGCGCAGTAAGTATAATTATACAATAAGTACGAATAGTTTATAGGTTTAGAGTTTAGACTCTAAAATTTCTAAAGTTTAGAGAGAGGAATAACACCTGAGTCCTCAGGAATGGCAACGCATGGGGGGTATCATGGGCGAAACAGTATACTCTGTTATGTACATGGTACTGCTCATGTCTATAGGCGACGGTTACCACTTTCCATCAGGTGGACCGTCAGCTTGTTTGCCATTCTAAGTTGTATAAAAAATAAAAAATAAAGATTCAGAATATACAGGATGAAATAGAAATCGTAAAACTATGTATGTACTTATAAAAGATATTAGGAAAGCACTCTTTCACCAGAGGGAGACTTAGTACAAAAGTCGATTGCTTGGGCACCTCTGTCCTATTCGTGTTTCTACCGTGAAGCAGTTGTGTTTGCTGTGTTTCAGTTTGAAGGGTGGGATATGGCAGTGAATTTACAGGGTACAGGTACGCGTGTGAAACCAGGCTTAGCATGGAACTTTCAACATTTTTTATCACTTTTGACCGATCGATATTCTTTTGAGTAAAATGATCACGTTTGTTGATAGAACACTTCCTACAGAGGCTGCTAACAATTTTGATTTCACCCTACGTATTAGTAAAAAGAGAATCGAGACCTTTGTTTTATACAATGGTGGTGATAATCAAGTCTCATGGCAAACGACCGTCGCTGTTCAACCACAGATCTCACTTGCTATGTCACTGAAATTTGTAACATAAGGAGTTTATATCTGAATACCCAGTAATTTGACCTTTCAAACCGGAATACAGCATGAAAACTGACATTTTGTAGTCTCCCTCCAGAAGATTGCTTAGAGGTAGTTATGAAAAAGATCCGTATTAGGTAAACGTGCATGCATGTGCGTGCATGTGTATGCATGTGATAAATATTCAGCCATCAATTAAAATAATGATGGTCAGAGAAATTTTGCATAGCTAATAAATTTAATGCATTATCAAATACTTACATTAACTACCTAATACATTCACTTCTACATGACAATTAAAATATGCTTTACTTTCACCAAACTAGATTAATATGACTTAGAATGGTTTAATAACTGTTTCCTATAAACCTTTTGACTAGTCCTCCTCAAGTATATCGATGGTGAATCGAGGGGTGTGCGCTAGGAGCTCGGACATTGCGGCGGCGACGCGGGGACGCACCGAAATCGTCACCACCGCGAGGAAAGTCAAGGAGAGCTGTATATAATATTGTGACCAAGTGTAGAAATATAGCGAACACAAAAGTATCTTAAAATGACAGTCAACTCTAAATAGTCCCCGCAAATTTAGGTAATTTTAAATAAGTCGTGCTTTTTTACAGACTTACGTGATAATTGGTACATAAGTTGATATTAAGGATTGTAATATATTTGAACAACTGTTATTCAGTATTGAATAATTTAAAAATGCGAATGTAAGTAAATATTAATAGGAATATTAAGAATGCGAAGTAAATGTATTGTTTGATTCTTTTATGTAACAAAATATTTTATTAAATTAATTGTACTATAATATATTGTATAATATATTGTAATATAATAATAATATTAAAAGAATTTATTAAATTTATTGGAGATTTAAAAAGAATCAATTTTAATCAATTGTATTTGAATTAATTTAGAATTTTAAAGAAAGAAAGAAATATTTATTTAGTGTTTAATTTAATTTAATTTAATTTAATTGTACACTTAATTATTATGTATAAAACATTTAACAATAAAAAAGAAGGTATAAGTACAGTCACGTGTAATAACTTTGTAACAATTAATTTCATAGGTTTTTAAATTAAGTAATAAATGTTTTTAATAATGATAAATCGTATAATAATTATTATAAAATAGAACAAGGTACAAAAAATATTAACATAGTGTTATTTATCTTGACTGTACTTATCGAAGAATTAATAATATTATTACGTATCAACGAAGAAGTTGAGTGATGAGTTTGTAAGATGCAAAGTAACAGAAAGATACATGAAAGATAGACCGACGAAAGATGTAATAATGTTGGTGGTATGTTAAATTAGATAAATGAATTAGATACTAACATTCCGAAACCGGCGGTAAAATAAAAAAAAAATTACGATTTAAAAGAATTTGTAAAATTTAATTTAATTATATTTTAATTAGATTAATATTTTTATTTTATACTTAATATTTTTATTTTGCTCGCTACTTTGTGCATGCGGATTTTAAAAGTAGGAATATTAATGAAATATACCACTTTTAGATGGCGTATCAAGATAAAACTTATACCAATTTCTATGTTACACATATCTGTCAAAACTACATTCAATTTGGCGCAGTAGCTTTTACGTGATATCGGAACAGACATATAGATTTACAGACAGACAAACAAGATTTCTGTAATGTTCTGATATCTATTGGTGTTATTAAAATCCCTCATATTTTTTTTTTTAATATCTTCTATGTACATTTTATTATATTTGTAAGATTTTATTGTAGATCAGAATAAAAGGCAAAAATATAATATACCAGTCACAAATACAGAAAAAAAGTTCTGGAGAATCTCGCCGCTTAATGCGTTCCACTCACCCCATAAATAATTTGGACCGTATATTTTAATTCTGTTAAGTCTGCTTGACGATGTCATCGACCAGTATCATCGACTTGGCCATATTGATTTGTGAACTTGTCGAATTTCGCAGAATTGCCAATAAATTATTTAAAAAGTGTCCAATAATTACATTTTATTATCTTTTATATATTGTGATTCCTAAGGGAGACTGTCAAGCCTACTCTAGTTGGTAACAAATAATAAATAAATTTTAATTCATTCGAAATATATTTCTAAAAGTGGAATTTTGACATAAAATGTTTGATTGATTGTAATTTTGTGATTAGATGCACATTAATACAGATTTAATAAGAATCGATTGACGTTAAAAATATATAAAATATAAATTTGTAATTTAATTTCAATTCACCCCTCTAATGGGGTGAGTGGTCATCTTAGAATAATTTTGTACCCGACATATCAAACGAGTACGCGGGGTAACATTTACGAATCTAGTGAGTTCGGGACGAATAGAACTAATGTATTGTTCTACATACATATATGAAATGAAAGTTTGGATGCTTATCACTTGTGACACATGTTGTGACAAGTTATCATCCGACATGTTTATATATGTATTGACATATTGACGCATGGGGGATATCATGGACGAAACAGTATACTCTGTTATGTCCATGGTACTGCTCATGTCTATAGGCGACGACTACCACTTTCCATCAGGTGGGCCGTCAGCTTGTTTGCCATTCTTAGTTGTATAAAAAAAAACTCTATTGACAAAGTTCACAAGTTTCTTAACTACTAACTATAAGTGGATCACGTTGTCTACAACTATCTAGTTTAATTAGGTTTAAAAGAAATAAAATTAACAAGAGGTTGTAATGAATTAATGTTAAATTTAATATTAATTTACGAGTAATTCCAAAGTGTATAATGAGTTAAAAAAATTTAAAGTTAAGGGAAGGATAATGTTTGATAAATTATTCGATAATTAATTATTAAATAGATCACTTGTATATATTATATATAAAAACTAATTTAATAATGTATATGTATAAATTACATAAAAAATAATATACATCGAGTTACTATTTTCACTTAGTAAAAATTATAAATTGTAAGCACGTCACCCTATGTTACTAGTAGATATTTGTATAATATATAACACTGATATAAATATAAAATTGATATAAAAAAATAAATTGATATACACTGACGAGATTCGTACTAAGTCGATTTTTATATATTATAAGATTAGTGTATAAAATGTAATTATGATAAATATATAAAATAAATTAAAAATGTATAGTATTCTAAAATCTTAATTAATTAATTAATAATGACGTTAATATTATTGTTGTATACACTTAAACAGTTAATAGGATTTGAATAAAATTTGGTACACATTTGGACTATATTACCTTGGGTTGCATAACTTGGTACTTTTTAATCTGTTTCTACTTCTAGTATGACAATAATGATCAAATTTCCTTATAACTGCGCAGTCACGTATTCGATTTAGTATGAAGAGCTAAATCAGGGGTTCCCGAACTTATTTTGTCTACTGCCCACTTTAAGAATAAATTATTTTTTAGCGCCCCCATTTCTTCACCTAGTTAAAAACCACCATTACTTCAAGATCAACAAATCATCCCCCAAGCCTCTACACAACGTCTCCATTTTTTTTTCTGGGTCTCTGTCTGGGTCTGGGTCACAGGTAAATTAATGAAATAAACAATTACAAATGTAATTGGAATATCAAGGTAAAACATTTACACGTTTTTAAGTTAGACGTTCAGGAGTACAACTGTGAAAACGGTATCGAGTTTGTTGCAATAGCTCTTGCGTGATGTCATAACAAACACAGACAAACAGACAGATGGATAAACAGACGGGCAAAATTTCTAATAATTATTCTTTTGTCTTTTATTGGTATTAATAATAACAATACTTTAATAAACGCAATTAGGGCCCACAGAATTTTAACAATATCAATTTGTACCAAAAATAAACTATTAAATTAAACACTTATAAATAAATAACATTGACCTAACCTACTTTTTTTTTGTATGTTAGCCAGCATGTGTTTCATTCATTCTGCAACGATTCAAATACTGACAATCTGGACGGTCCGCAAATACCTTTAGGATAGCGTTAGAGTTGCTATTATTAAAATCCCTTGTTTTAATTTTTCAGAAAATACTCCTATTTACAGATATCGTATAGTGACAATTTATGATGTAAAATAACATGGTCTCTCTGTGTAGCGAGTTCGATTCGAAACTATTTACCCTATCAGCGTGTCAATCGAGTTTATAGGGTAAATGTGCTTGGTAACGAACACCCAACGTTTGACATTTATAATGGGCGGCAGTATTAGTTGTTTTGCCCCATTTTCCTAGGGGACGAAGGTTCAGTTACATGAATGGATATTATTGTTCGATTTCGCTTTATATATAACTCCGATATTGTTTATTGTGGTTGCTTTAATAATACATTTTATAAAGTCATTTTCTAAAACAGTGTTTTTTAAAGTGCGAGTCGCGACCCCTCGCGACCCCGAGCCTCTACAAGGTGGTTGCGGAAGGTCGCGAAGCAGTGAAAAATCAACAGTTCCGTAAATACATCAATCAATTAATAATACATAATGAAGTATCTATAACAGACATCGATTACATGTCTGTTTTAAATACTTTATTACGTATTATTTATTTTATTTTAACGATACCTAACTGTGAATATAAATACAACTGTACAGATTTTATAATTGTACTATAATAAAATTTATACACATTCGATACCGTGGAGGGTAGGGGTCGCAAGACATTTTTACATAATAAGGGGGTCGCGTCATGAGAGGGAGACTTTGTACAAAAGTCGATTGCTTGGGTACCTCTGTCATATTCATGTTTCTACCGTGAAACAGTTGTGTTTGCATAGTTGTGTTTCGGTTTGAAGGGTGAGATATGGCGTGTATTTACTGGTTAAAGAGGAATAACACCTGAGTCCTCAGGAATGGCAACGCATGGGGGGTATCATGGGCCAAACAGTATACTCTGTTATGTCCATGCTACTGCTCATGTCTATAGGCGACGGTTACTACTTTACATCAGGTGGGCCGTCAGCTTGTTTGCCATTCTAAGTTGTATAAAAAAAAATGAAAAAGATTGAAAAACACTGGTCCAAAATATTTCATTTCTATGTCTATTCATTTAAGTCGAAATTAATTTATCGAATACTGCGTCAGCTAAACCTGTATATCTTTTACTTTTTAGAGTTCCGTACCTTCAAAGAAAAAACGGAACCCTTATACGATCGCTTCGTTGCTCGTCCGTCCGTCCGTCCGTCCGCCCGTCTGTCAAGACCCTTTTTCTTAGGAACGCGTGGAGGGATCAAGTTGAAATTAATATCATATACTCAGGTCTGCGGTCTCTTAAAACAATGAAAGATTCAAGCTTCTAAATCAACATAATAAAAAGATACGGCCGTTTATGTTTCATTTATATCGCATATATTGACATTTGTAAAGGGAATCAAAACCTATAAAGTATTTTTCGTTGACCTAGAATCGTGAGATTTGACAAAAAGCAATGCCATGTAGCACACGTAAAGGAAAAATCCGAAAACCGTAATATTGTAGTTATTTCACAGAAAAAAAAATTAATTTGTAGATTTTGTACGGAACCCTCGTTGTGCGAGTTCGACTCGCACTTGACCGGCTTTTTTAATTTTAGAATGATTTTTTTTTAAACTTATTTGCATTTCTTATTCGATGTGTTTTGTCGTGAGTCCGTTAATTTCCCGCGAATTATGTACATATATAGACATTATGTATTTATTTATTTATTAGTACATATATGTGTACTAGGCAGACTGAATGCTAAAAGCATTCTCTCCCAGTCAACCTTAGATTATTAACATAAGAACTAAAATCAGGGTGTGATACCTACCTCTAAAATTAGAACTTTCCCAGTTGCTCTCTAAAATATATATATATTAGATATTAATGTAGACGTTATCCGTTAAGGGATGATATAATGATGATGATGACGGTGATGATAGACGTTAACGTAACTTTACAGTGAATTTACAGGGTACAGAGGAATAACACCCGAGTCCTCAGGAATGGCAACGCATGGGGGGTATCGTGGGCGAAACAGTATACTCTGTTATGTCCATGGTACTGCTCATGTCTATAGGCGACGGTTACCACTTTCCATCAGGTGGGCCGTCAGCTTGTTTGCCATTGAACATCGTCTATGTGAACGTGAACACGATCAAAACATAAACCTTTGTATTATTAACTGTTCACTGCTGAACATAACCTTTCCCTATAAGGGGCATTTATTTTATATCACTGAGGTGGCAAACAAGCATACGGCCCATCTGATGGTAAGTGGTTACCGTAGCCCATGAACACCTGCAATACCAGAGGTATTATGCGCGCGTTGCCGACCCTGAAGAAACCTCTTTACCCCTCTTTTGAAAAACCCCATGCTGTAGTCTCTTGGGTAAACCTCGGCAAGGAATTCATTCCATAACCTGCGTGTTCGTGGGAGAAAACTTCCCTGAAACCGCGCAGTAGTTAGCACGCTTGGTAGGCGCGTTTTTTTTTAATGGGTGAAAATGAAATAGTAACCTCGCTTACGCTAACGATAAACGCTGGCGGAGCACCAGTGAAGGGTAATCGATGAGAATGAAAACAGTTAGCCCGTCATGATGAATTCATCAGGAATTAATCATGATAGTTTCCAGGTGGAACCGCGAAGAGGTCGACCTGGTTGGGTATATTGCTAGCAATCGGATTCTTACTCTCCATTACTAACAATCCGTTTACCCCCTGGTAGCCGCGTTAGTTTTAATGACAATGCTGCCATGTCATAAAGTTCCCTTTGTCGTGTTTTACGACACTCATGGGAAAATAAATGGTGACCCATTCTATGCCCGGACCATATGACAAATATATACTACTCCCATTATCAAAGCGGTATTTCAACTGATTAGGACATTGACCTCTCACTACGTAGCAGGTGTGGGTTCAAATACGGACCATTTCAAAACATTTTAGTCGAAAGATAATAATAATATATATATATATATATATATATATATATATATATATATATATATATATATATATATATATATATATATATATATATATATATATATATATATATATTTTTTTTTTTTTTTTTTTTAATTATTAAACTTTTTATACTTTATTAAATATTAAATCGCCATGTAGTTCCCGGCATAGAATCTACCACCCCTTCCTTTCCCTTGGGTGTCGTAAGGGGCGATTAAGAGAGGACGAGAGAAGGGCAGCAGCGTACCTCTTAAAACATCAACTTACCAGAGGGAGACTTTGTACAAAAGTCGATTGTTTGGGTACTTCTGTCCTATTCGTGTTTCAACCGTGAAGCAGTTGTGTTTGCATGGCTGTTTCGGTTTAAAGGGTGGGATATGGCAGTGAATTTACAGGGTACAGAGGAATAACACCTGAGTCCTCAGGAATGGCAACGCATGGGGGGTATCATGTCATATCATCACCACTTTCCATCAGATGGACCGTCAGCTTGTTTGCCATTCTAAGTTGTATAAAAAAAAAACATCATTAAAAGCCAAACTGCGGTTACCAACCCGCCTGCCAAGTGTGGCAACTACTGGCAAAACCCCTTTGGGGAAGGCTATGTCCACCAGTGGACAGTTAGCGGTTTTATTAAATCGATCGGGCTAACACATAAAATGTTATTTAAAAAAAATTCTTCACTGATTCTCCATGTATATAACTTATGCTACATAACACAAAATACAGGTAAATAGTGTGATTTTATATTTACATAACAACAGTGATTGTGAAGCTAAATATATTTATAATACCTATTTACTGATACTTCTTATTAATTATGTATAAATAGTTATCAATACATTCGAGTTATAAATTTTTCTTTAGTAGTTACATCTTTATATACACTTTATATATATATATATAGATATATATATATATATATATATATATATAGATATATATATATATACATATATATATATATATATATATATATACATATATATATATATACATATATATATATATATTTCTTTGGACATTGATGG